CCAGACACAGCATATGTACGCATTTTTATTAGCGACGTCAACGATAACAAGCCGGAGTTTGCACAGGCCTCCTATGAAGTCGATGTGGATGAGGACGCTGATGTGGGCTTTGCCATTCTCACAGTCAGCGCCAACGACGGGGATGAAGGTGGGTGGCACGGATAAAGGATTCTGCATGTACTTGTGCATTTCAGAATTTCGGGATATGTAGGAGTGATGATGGCGATGGCACTGTATGTTCAATATTGAGCACATTTTCTCCAGCTCATTGCTGAAGTGTTTTGCTTTCCCTTCACCAAAGAAAAACTTTCACCTTTCGCTGCTTTTGTGTAACCCTGTGTTACTTTGAGGAAAGGTTTGCAGTGTAAAACATGTAATAAAAAAACTGCAATACGAGAGGTTGAAACAGAAAACTGAACTCTTTTAATAAAACCTTTCAATGGTTTCACAAAAAAAAAATCATCTTTACTGTAGTCAAGGATTCTTATTCTTACTACAGCCTTTAAATTCCTGCTATTAATGTTGTCATTTTTTAAAAGTCATCAATGGCAAATTGGCTTTATTCTAAAATAAACACTGTTTTCGTTTGAGAACGTGGTCCTGAGTCGATGTACCAGGTACTTTTAATTCCAGACATCTTAAAGACTGGTTCATCCTTTCGCTGAACTTCCCTAATTAAAAACACTAATTATGGAGCCATGTTAGGATATGAGAGCTTTCCAAAGTCCCAAAATGAAAAGATTTATCGTTGTGGGGGAACACGCCAAGAAACTCAGCTGTCATGGCCAGAGGCAAATGTCAGCTCATGACAGAAAAGACAAGACCATAATTGCACTCAGGAAGAACACACAGCTAATATTTAATGCATGTTTCCTGAAGTGGTAGCGACAGCAAGGAACAAAATCTACAGATTGTAAATAAAATAAAATATTAAATGCTCACTATAAACAGCCAAAGCTATTTACAGTGGTGGGTGACTGAAACCGAGCAGAAAGAGAGTCTACGAGTCACGTTTGGACTTACTTGGGCAGAGAGAGGCGTGTGGGAAACAGTAGCTCTTTTTTGGCTATCAAAGCAGAGTGAATTAATGCCTTTGAGATAAAGAAAGTGAACTGGAGTTTAAAAAATTAATAAAAAGAGCGTGTATGTAATACCGGAAATATTCCCTCTATATTTATTTAACACTGTTTCATTTGACTTTTGAACATGAAAAGTTGAAAACTGATACATGTTCATCATCATAAGGTCAAAGGGGACCTAATTATGTTCATTTCTAGCTCCATATTTTTATTCCTGGATTCTTGGACTAGGATAGGTTTACATATCACAACCCCTCAGTTTATGATTCTGTAAACTTCTTGCTTTTATGTTGCTTTTATTCTCCTGTGTACAGCGACCTTGAGTGTTTTTGAAAGGTGCTTTCAAATAAAATGTATTATTATTATTATTATTATTAGTTCTGAAATAAACTGTAGTCATGGTAAAAAGTAGATTACACCTGCTTTCACTTCAGGTTTCATATCAGGGGGAAATAAAAATGATCTAGTCTTACCTGGTCTCTCCATGTGTTTGCTCCATGTGTTGTCCAATTATTTGGATTTTCTCTGTATTATTGTAGGGTCCGTACCATACTGTATAAAGTGCTTTGGTGCACTTTGGTGCTATATAAATAAAACTGAATTGAATGAATAAAAACTAAGCCAAAATGCAGAAGCAGTGGGTGAAAAACTGAGTACATCTCTTGATATAACAGCTTGTTCGAAACACTTTTAGTAGCAATAACTTAGAAGTAATCGTTTTCTGTGTCACCACAGCATTTCAGTGGGGTTGATGTCTGGACTGGGCCTTTGCAGCACCTTGGTTCATTTCTTTTTCAGCCATCCAGTTTGGATTTGCTGGTTTTGGGGATTATTGGCCCATGGCATGAGCCAACTCGGGCCGAGCTTCAGCTGTCGGCCAGGTGGCCTAACATTTGACTCTAGGATACTTTGGTATACAGATGAGTTCATGCTCAACTCAATGACTGCAAGGTGCCCAGGTCTCTGGCTGTAACACAAACCCAAATCATCGCCCCTCGACCTCTGTTCTTGATGTTCTTGTTGGTGTGAGATGTTTATGCTGATATGCTGTGACTGCAAACATGGTGCTGTGCATTATGTGTACTGTGGCATGCAGACCAGAACGGGCAACAACCTTCCCTTTAGTAGATAACTTGCTCTGCTTCCCAAACTATAGCTGCCCCAATATGATAGGGTTGTGCTGTTCCTCTGAAGTTGTATTTACCTCATTTTCAGACCTGCAAAGAAGTAGATTACTTTTATTATGTCCTGAAGAACAGAGAGAGCTGTGTGTAATAGGTCCTCATTAGAGTAATAAATGCAGTTTTTGCAAACAACATGAATTTTCAGCCAACACAGGCCAACTGTATTGATTTATTTCCATATGATGAGATTAACATTGACTTTTCTTTTGTGTCCATATGTAGGGTTTCAGTTCTTTACACGTTATTTAATTCAGTTTTTACTAATGTATTAATAAGTGACTAAACTTAGTAAATACATTGGAAACATGGATATAACATAACCAACAAGACAATAAAAGCAAGCTGGCTGACTGGCTACAGTGTGACCGGTTAAACCAAGAAGGGCATAGTACTTTTAAAAAATACCTCTCATGTAACTTGCATAAAGCCCTATTTTATAACTCAGTGTATTCAGTTTTGATATCTGTTTTCTGTAATAAAACTTTAAAACTGGATTTACAAATATGCTCCTGTTCATGTAACTTTTAAACAAAAAAAAGTTATTTTGAACTTTTTGAAAGGTAGAAAAATATAATCCGTCTGAGAAAAAGAAATAGAAACACAGATGCTAGAAGCTCTTACTTTGTAGCACCTATATAATAAATTTAACTTTCTTCCTTTTTAAGATCTATTGAATGACAAAGAAGATTCAAAAAATTAAAAAGGAAACCTTCGAAAAAATAATGTAGCAAGAGGTGTTTATGAATATAATATATAAACTTACCTGCGTCTGTTATTCATCAAAGAGCTTTACACTTACAAGCCACGCCCACACATCGACTCACATTTCCTGCAGTTGTATTTGTGTTAGTCTGATCACTGCTCATTTGTCAGCAAGCTTCCAGCAATCTGTCACTGTTGACTCAAACAGGAAACACAACTGCTGCAACTGAACTTGCGTGCAGCGATTTTTTTTTTTTTTTCACCGCAATCCAGATGTTGTAGCCAGTCTTCTGCCTTAACTGTCGTTTATAATTGCACCTGTAATTCAAATTGAATTCATAAAATGTTTCTGCCTACACTGACAGGCCCCACGTTTCACTTCTAAGCTTTTTTAAAAAAAAATTGTGCACATCTGGAACATATTACGTGCCAGTTAGGGATCGCCCATCGGAAGCAGTGCCTGTGTTACAGACGAGAGGAAAATTAACTGTCAGGGCTGCATTAAAAAGGGGGGCTGACTCTTTGGGCTGATTCAGACCACTTCAGTTTCACTCAGCGCAGTGTTAGTGCTGGTAGTGTTTTTGCCGATAAAACGTCCAGTGAATTAAACCTGTAAGCAAGTCGCTCACAATCCTTTTTAAAAACCAAAGCTATTCACTATTTAGATTTATTTATCATTAAATAATTTTTTCTTTTCCAAAACGGTAAAAATAAGCCTTGGAGAAATAATTTAAAATTTCTGCTCATCAGTGCTTGCCTTAATACGCACACACACACACACACACACACGAACACACACAGAGAGCAACAGACTGCTGGAGTTCAGAATAAAGTTACCACCACAGGGAGCTGTAATGTGTGTGCATGCTTGATTTTTCTTCTTTCCTTGCGAGGAGTGCAGAATGTTAAGTTAATGAAGGAGGAAAAGAAGGAGATTGTTGAAGTGATTTCTACACTGCTGCCAGTAATGAGGACAGAACGATGCCTGTTCATATCACACAGCTAATATATAGCAGTTAGCCACAGTCATTAACAGTCCATGTAAAATAATTGCTGAAACCACTAGAGACAAGTGCAGTTTGAAGATGTAAAATGTTTGCATAGTTTCAAATGGCAATTTTGAACCTCTAGCACAGACTCTAGTTAATGACTCCTTTGATTGTCTGACATCTTTAAGAATGTTTAATTCCACTAAATAGCAAATCAAAAAGAAATAATAACTCCAAAAGTTCTTAGTGACACAAGCCCGCTGGCAGTAGTACCCCCTTTTCTCACTCCACTGCAAGAACTTGAAACATCATAGTCCCTAAACTGTTTTTAAGGCCTCTTTTAGGAATTTTTTAGGTACTTTCCCAGACTAAGAGGAAGTAATACAGTGTACGATGGCTGGTCTAATACTTGACTGCAGCAGCAGCAACTTCCATTAAATAAAGTGTTAGACTGAAACACTGGCCATGTTAACAAGAGCACTTACCATTCTTGGGGAAATGAAGAGGAGGAGGAAACAGGATTACAGAGAAATAAAGGTGAACGACAAAAGGTGGCGTTTCATTACCGGCTGCAGAGTTTCTGTTTGCAGTGCAAAAGCAAAGAGAATCAAAAGGTGTAGTTTAAGGAGAACCTCCCCAGCAGTTACTTACCCCCAACACTAGTTTCACCAAAGTTGATGTTTTTCTCTCTCCAGGAAAGCTGAGTGCTGTTTACCTGGTGACTCGTGTCGCTGAATGTTCAATACAGCATAATTGAATATTTACTTACTTACTAGATACTATTTCGTCTACATTACAATGACTTGAAAAGGTTGTTAGATCAAATATTAATTTAAAAAAATCTCAAAACAAATCACAAAATGGAAAATACTTTAAATTTGACTTTATGTTTTGATTATTGTATTTTATTTATTAACCTTTATTTAACCAGGAAAATCCCATTGAGATTAAAAACCTCTTTTTCAAGGGAGACCTGGCCACATGCAACAATAAGTGAAAAAATACAAATAAAATAAAATAAAATTCAAATAAAAAAAAGATAAATAAATAAAAAAAATAAAAAAGTCAGTTAAAATGACAATCAATCTAATTGAAACAGTTGCATGTTATGGACTTGGCCTCAAGGAGTCGTAGTTTAGATTTAAAAGCACTTAATGAAATGAATTCAGTCATTTTCCTTCTGCAGTTTGTTCC